TATTTCATGGTCAGTAGCTAGGAAATATCCTCCTAATTGCAAACTGAACATACTGCATCTAAAAGTGATTAAAAAACCATTTTCTCTAAAGGCTTCATCTGTACACTATTGATCTTGGTGGCACCTAGACCAGGCACAAAATTATTTGTAGATTTCCACTTTTCCAAGTGGAAACACTCAATTTTTTTAAATTGTTTATTAGCTGATATTGCTGACAAGGCTTTTTAGTTTAAACCACCTTTCTGATCCAATTTCTGAACAATAATCCATTAAACCATTTGTAAGTTATTGGCATTCTAACACATTTTGAGTAAAACTGATGCAACTCATTTTAAAGTCTCTCCATTAGCCAGGATAGTCCAATCTTCATTTAATTTCTTCACTACTGTTTCTCTTCTGAGAACAGGAACTATTCCTAGCATTAGTAAGAATGTCCCAAAGAATCTAACTCTTAGTGCTAAAGTTTTTGTAACACGAAGTACATCTGCATATGCAACATATTTTCAAATTGATTTGAACATTAGAGAATAGCTGGGTGTAACAACAAAAAAAACAACCCCCAAACTATGCACTCAAAAAATCTAAATAAACATTAACTTTTCAGCATTAACCTTTCAGATATTAAGATGAATGAAAAAACTGAACAATACAGAACTATTTTCTCATACTGTCTATATACCCTGACAATTCCTCTGTTTGTCAAGCTAATATTTTCTTTGTTTAGAAACATCAGAATTAGAAATTTCTGAAGGACCTAAAAGGAAAAAAAAGACATTTTCAAATACATATAACATGACATTTTCATGGTATTCAGTAAAGTCTGGATGTTTTATCAAAATTTATTTTTACAGAATCATGTAAATATTAATTTTAGAAAATAACTTGAACTGGACTGGCAGTGATGCCTCTGAGACCACACATTCAGAGAGTCAAAAGAATAACTATGTGGATATTTGTAGTTTAAAATTGTGTCCATTTGAACCCCTTGTCTCTCTTGTTAACAGGATAAAAATAAACAGAGAGAGCTAAAGTAAAAAGGCTGACACCAAAATTGCTACATGTGTTGTATCTGGTAGTTTGCTAATTTTTGAGAAAACAAGTTTGCCTAGACATGTTCAGATCACTGTTTTAAAGGTAAAAGCCTAAGACATAAAAGTTATCAGTAACCAGACATTCTAAAAACATGCTAAATCAAAAAGGAATGCTGACAGGCAAGATCCCAGGCCCCATAAATATTAGCAATCATACCACACAGAAGTCACTGCAGGCAGTATGTAACTATTCCTGAGAGAGCTGCCCTATCCAAAGACACACAGTAACAAAGCATGGCTATTGTGTAAAAAAAAGCAGAGGCCTAACAATGTTTTAATAACTTTAATTCCTCTTATTACAGTGAAAGAACAAAAGTTTGAAATTCTAGAAATGTTTATTTTACAGTGAACACTGAAAGTGTTTAGCTGTTTCCAATTACAAGCTGACCAGCAACTCAGAGGAAAGTCCCTACCATTTATACACTTATGCTGCCAGACAAACTTTTCTATAAAATTAATTATGAGAAAAATTTTATTAGCTCCTAAACACCTCTCTCTGGCAGGCAGAAAGAATTAAACATATGCAGAAGGGTAATCTTGATATTACGTGGAGCTTTTTCTGTTGACTTTATGAAAATCTGCATCAACTATGAACTATTGTAAGCTTGCACTCTCCATGGCTTTGCTGTCTACCATAACCTTTAGAGAATCTAGCAGCATCATCTCTCCAACTCTGCATACATCCATACCATGTCACAAAAGGAGACAAATCTCTCTACAATGGCTGCTCTCCCATGAGAATATATCCCACCTACAAAGACCTGTCTCAAAAGTGAGAAACAATCTTCATCTGAAGCAGGGTCACAAGTTGACTAGAAAAGTATAAAATCCCACTATTTGTTTGGCTTTTTTTACTTCAAATTATTCTTTTCAGTTTTACTGCCTTTGAGAAATAATTTATTAATCAATGCTAACTCACAAAAGGTGTCTTAAACATTACCAAGTGGCAAAGACAAACTTCTGAACTGCACAGGTCATTAGAAAAAAATCCACAGATTCTGCTGTTCTAGATATATTTTTACAATACTGTTCCTGTAAAATGGAATTATCAGAATATATCCACAAGACCAGACTATTACGTAGCTTCCTCTAGTGGTCAGTCCCTAAATCTTGTTGCTTCTGCTATTTACTGTAGTTACACACAAATCTGTGTTCAAATGCTGTAAATTTGAGAAGGCATTAAAATTTATACTGCAATGTACCTCTAATACAAAAGCCGAGGAAACTAAGCCAAAACGTAGAGCAAAACATTTGTTAGTTGACACTAAAACAGTGAACTAGCTAAACAGTGAAGTCAGCAAAAACCAGAGTTATTAGTTTTCCCATTTGCACCCTTGTGAATATGCATTATAATATATTTAGTTACATGGTCAAGTTTGACTTTCCCACCATGAGACTCAGGAAGTAAAGACAGATGTTCAGTTTTTAGCTGAGTCTTCAGATATTTGCTATGAATCATTCAAACTTTTGTTTTGACCCTGAAAATTATGTATGTATGTGTGCGTGTGTGCATGCACGTTTTAATGAGCCTTGCTGCTGTGCAACTGGTTTCTTTCTGCAAAACTCAGCTGAGGGAGGGGGCAACTTAAAAGACACAGCAAAGCATTCACCAAATTTGAAGGCCACTGAAAACAGATGACAACTTGATATAGCCCTAAAATACCACAAGAAGAATCAAGGCAGCTCTCTGTCATACAGGATGAGAAATTAAGAGGATGAAATTTTACACTGGGCATCAGGAAGATTTCCTTACAGGTTGAAGTCATTAAGGAGGAAGAGAGAAAACCCAAAGGTAGAAAGTGACAACTGCCTGTTACTAAATATATTTTATTGAATATATTTTACTGAATATATTTATTCAACTGTTAAAAAGAGTGTGATTACATAACACAACAGCTATCTCTGACTCTAAAATAAGGTAGTTAGAAATCTGCTCAGGTGATTTAACTGAAAATAATGCCAAGGGTTATGTTATCTAAATTGTACAGACGTAGAAAATCATATCACCCATGTGCAGTTTGAAAATCTGTGAATGAGTAACTTTTATAATATGGCTTTTTTCTGTGAAACAGCAGCAATAACTTTTATGTCCAGCTGAATGCATTTCATTGCCTGAGATTCTTTACTGCCTTCTTACTTTTGCCTTTGCACTTTTCTGCACTCTGGAACCAAAAGAAATCCCCCTCAACCTTTTTTTTTTTTCTTTCCATCTCTTCTATAAAGCTTGTCAACTTCCATTCAGCTCTGACAAGGGCATTAACTCCCCAAAACTGACACCACCATTTACTCATTCATACATTGCCAGCAACAATGCATGCTGCCAGTGTAGCAATGCCTGACAAAACATATAATGAAGCAGAAACTTAATTTTAAGTTCAAGGACAAATTAATTTTGAAACACTACTGCATATTCCCCTGGGAAGCCTACAGGTAGCTCAACAGTGCCAACCTCACAAGTGCCTTAAATGCTCATCCCTCCATCACAGAAATTCACATGGAGCTTCCACACATTTGGACAAAAAAAACCAAATGCACAACATACAGACAAAAGACAAGGGCATGACTGAAGCATTAAGTATTACATTTCCTTCCCTTTTTTTCTTTCTTTCCAAGATACCAGTCTGCATGTTACCAGCTAATGCAGCTTGCCCTAGCATTGCAGCTGTGATTTGCTCCCTTGTGCCATATTTAGAAACGTGCTCACTGTGACTGTTTCAAAAGAGGCTCTCAAACCATTCTGTGGGATGCTGACTGTAAGGGTACCTCAGCAGTTAAAATACCTGATGTTACACATCCCTCTGCTGTTGGTATCTGCCTAACCTCATTCATTTTTACAGTTGGAATCAGCTGGAATGTCTCTTCTCCTCAGGAGAGCAGGCAGCAAGGGATTTACAGCACAGTAACTAACCTCAGGTCTCAAGTTTGCTTATTCCTTGGCATACCATTACATCCTTGGGGAAAGATAACACAGCTGACAAAAAATGTCACAGCTCCTCAAAATAAATAGTATCTGTCCAAATTTGGAGAGTGCTGCCAACTCTGTTTATGTTCCTGGCTTTCTCTCAAAACAGCTCTAAAGCTGTGGACTTTGTTAGTAAAATAAGAAAGGAGAAAGATTTAGCCACATCTCTTTTCAGAAAAAGTTTTGTGCCTGTTTCTCGTCACTTTGTAAAAGCATTTTGGCATTACAGCAACCTGAATATGCAGTGGTGCTCGGGTAGCAATGTAAGAGCCTAATAAATAAAACATGAAAGCTGCAGTAGAGAAAATTCAGTAAAATTTCATGCATGCTTTTCATTTTTCATGCTAAGGATCAAAATATTAAGTGCATTTCAGTGCCAAATTCTATATTAAAGTCACTCATGATTCTCTGTATTCCATTAGAGTTAGAAACTCCAACCAAAACCCAGCATGTCAGAGACAGTACAGTCAGTCAAGATTGTGATAACCTACTTTCATCTAAGTGACAATTAAGCATCTCTAATGAAATGCTTATGTTTCAAACAGGCAAGACAAAGTAGAAAGATACCAATCTTAACAGCATGGAACTGAAGGCAAATGGGAACTAGAGACTCCTCCTCCCAGACACATTCTAGGGTACAGCACAACTTATAGAATTAACATGGTTCTGGAAAGGATGATCCTGATGTTAATTCTAAAGCATCAGAGTATTTTAATTATAGGATTGTTTCTCAACTGCTCAGGTGGTGGCAGAGTAAGTATCAATAAACTTCCTCATGTTTAACAGAACAGAACATGAAAAGAAATGGTCAGTGTACCTGTTTTGTATTGCTCAGCTTTAAAAAGAAAAGCGGTTATTCTTTGACTAACTTCTGAATACCAGATTTTAGGCTAAAGAAGTGCAGAACTTTTCAGGCAAAGGATCACTTGAAACAATGCACAACTTACGCATCTCTTCAACCACGTCTGGATCACATTCTCTGTATTTGTCTATTTCTGTCTTTAGCTGCTCTTTTTTCTGCCGAAGGGCAGCAAGTTCCTTCAGCAGAGCTGCACGATCCGCCTGAGGATTCAAAGGATGTTGGGAGATACAAAAAACCCCCAAATATTAAAAACAGTAATTATCACCCAAAGTTTTTTTAAAAATAAAAATATACACTTAAAATTTAAAAGCTGCTTTCACTACTGCTTTCTGTCTACAAACTACTTGAGCATTTTATTTTATTACACAGAATTCTCAGAGATATTAAATGATACTGAATACCAGCTGGAAAGAAAAAAGGCCAAAATGTATCAATAAAAGAACAATTTTCTACAACCTTTAAACCACAGTTTAACAATGGTTTAACAAACTCCAAAGAGATCTCTTAATTATTTGGCTTAAAGGTTAAGCAGTATTTAAGAGTGCTAGTCTCGTAATTAAAGACGGCATTACAGAAAAACCTATCATCCACCCTTCCACAAACTGAGATGCTGTGTATCAACACCCTCTGAATTTGTCTTTTTTTCTTTTGCACACCATTTAAGAACAATGGTCACAAAAATAAATTCATGCATTTATGACATGGTAGTCTTTGCTAGAATTGTACCCAATATTGACCTCAAAGATTCTATTGATCAATAAGAATCTGCAGACACTGACTCAACATGAGCTCTCCGACAGCCAGCTCAGCACATACTTTTAATTCAGTCTGTAGCTACAGACAAACACTGGAACTGGCTGATATTCAAATAACTCAAGCTAGGGTAGCCTAGAAGAGCCAGATTGCATGAGTTTGTAAGCCATCGAGATTTTACCAATGGCAATCTCCATGGTAACCCAGCAGTCTGAGGTGTTTGTGGATTTGGGATTTTGTTTACAGTTGTTGGGTTTTCCCCCCACAAACTTCCATATTCCCAGTGCTTTTGCCAACAGTTTGGATTCAGCATGTTCTGAAAATGCAGAACGGAAATCAAAAGTTTCCAGATGCTGAGGTATGGAGGTGAGATGCTTGGAGACCTACATTGCAATCTAGATTTTTTAGGACTTCTTCTTGATGTATAATCAGGAATGAAAATGTTGGAAACATCAGCCAGAATAGGACTTCCTGACCAATAGCTGTCTGTAGGGCAGGCCACATGCTGGAGAAGCCCAAGGCTGAAACAGTTTGTTTGGAAACATGACAAGCACAATTATGTGAGAAACCTGCTTGTGATTCCTGATTACAGTCCATTGTGAATGAATGAATAAAGAATCCCCATTAAAGACACTGCCAAAAAGCAGGTTTTAATTGAATTTGTGGAACTGCAACATTAACAGAGTTTGATGGCAAGGTTCACTCTATTCCTTACTAGATAAATGAAACATACATAGGGAAAACCTAGAGTATTTCTACAAAACAGTTTGGATTTGAAGATTTGGCACTTTCCTACAAAATTCAATTCCTCCTGAAAGCTTCTGGCTGTGCGTGTTTATTGGAGGTTTAAATCACTTTAGACTGAGCATCTCAGAGCAAGTCAGCAACTTAGAATACCATACAAAGTATTTCTAACTAATATGTTGGTTATGACAAACAGGAAGCCTATATATAGTTTTTGCAGTGTTAACAGCTTCAGCAGCAAAGAGCACTGGGCTTACATTACTGCTCAGAACAGTAATTTAGGAAACTATATTACAAAGAAGTTGAAAAAAACCCAAACCAACATCTAAGTTTGTAGTTACCAGATCTGGCAGTTCAGCACCCTTTGGCAACTCTGGTACAGGCCTCTGGGTAGTTCAAGTTTTAAGATATTTTAATATATCTTAAAACTTTATATATATATATATATATATATATCTTAGTTATATCTGAAAACACCTGGAAGTACTACATTAGTATTTACAAGAAGTACATACTTGTAGCACTACATTCTTGCAGCACTATTTCCTTGTAGGATTATGTCCCCCCAAAGCAACTTACAGTATCTTCACGTCCAATTTTTGACTTCTCGATGCTTTTTTCTAAAGCCTCTTTTTTCTGACTGCTTTCAGCAAACTAATAAAGAAAACAAAGTACAAAATAAAACTTTTCCAGTAACATTAGACACAGCTATAAAATGTGCATAAATATTAATGTATTTAAATAAACAAGTGAATATATATTTTTAAAATACATGTGTTTAAAAAATAATTAAATTTTAAAATACATGTGTAACTTATGTAATAAAAATAAAGACAAAATAAATACAAAAGTGCCCAAATATAAATCTGAGGCTCTGACCCACAGAGAAGAATTACAGGAAACAACCTCAAGTCTAAGAAATATTTATTCCCGTGGCACATAATCTTGTTACATACTGCATGTTCAGCATGGGACTAAAATCCTATTTCATACCATAATCTGGCATCTCTATGTAAAGGTCCCCCTAACATGGAGGCTTTGGATCTGATGATTTCCTTTGGTCCTTTTCCAGCTGTCCCTATTCAACGGAAGCAGTGACAAAAGCTGCAGCAGCTCCACCTGCTCAGCTGTGGATACCGGTGTTCCCAAAGTCTGGTATGCCACTGGCATAGCCCCAAACCCTTTTACATGCTGATGAACAGAAGCCTCTGTTCAAAGGCATGCAAAGCTGTGGCCCCCTTTTACTGTGTGGCCCTTGCACTGCCAGACCTCACAGAGATCCCGTCCTTCAAGCCCAAGGCAGAGGAATCTCACAGGGCTGGTGTGAATAATCCTTCCATTTTTCTGTTACATCAGGAGAAATAATTTGCCAAGAGAGAGCTCTCTCCATTAACCTGCCACCCATCTCGAACCAGGCCTTTCCAGTTCAATTGGCAGTTTTCCAGAGATACTTTGGAAACTCTTAAGCTGAGCAGGACTATGACTCGACCCTCAGGGACACCATACTCAGCATCAGACAAAGGGACACCATACTCAGCATCAGACAAAGCACCTTGAAATATTAAATGAGATGAACCAGAATGAAAAAAAAATTCTAGTAAAACACAGTTACTGCATTGAAACCAGCACAAAAGAGGAAAAAATGAAACAATAGCATGCTTTTTGAGTACCCTTTGTTTTAGTTTTAAAACTAAAGCACTAATCAGTATACCAATATATCACACTAACTGTGAAAAGAACAGCTGTCAGAGCTCAGCTTTTACTCTGCTCTACCCCAAGATCCCCCACAGGAGTCCTCCACTTCTACATTCCCTTTCTCACTGAGGATCCCACTGAGTGCAAAAGCATTCCAAGATATTTATTGCAATCTCCAGCCTTGATAATTTAACCATATCACTAAAATTGTGCAGCTGATATAAATACATTCATGCAATACAAACTGCACTCCTTTGGAGGTACAATCACTTCTCAATTTCAATTTAAACTAATGTTTGGTCCGTATTTTCAGAATACTAAATGTAAATGTATGATAATATCAGGCAGAGCTAACTGCCAAGTCCTGAAGATCAGTCATAACAGTAAAAAGAAACTCCATACTGGTGGTCCATAAAGATTACGATACAGCCCAACTGCAGCTCACTGAGTTTAGTGGTTCCTTTCACAGCTTGATTTAAAAAAATAATTACTCTGTGTTCATGCATGTGTGAGCATGCATACAGACAAAAAGTCTCCTTTCTAAAAGAATGCTTTAGTTTTCTTCAATTTATATAGGAATTATACTAATGGTAAGACATAATTTGAGGAAAACTATGTCCAGCTGTTTACCTGCTGCTCTCATGCAAGAAACCACAGAGGCAGCATGGGTTTCACTGTGTGGCTTGAAGTACACCAACATCTTAATTTCAGTGGATAGTCAAAGAGTACTCCTTCCAGGCTTTCCACAAAATTCTTAAAAGAGTAGGTGTGTTAGTCCCCACATCATGCCCTATCAAACAGAGATATACAGTTCAGAAGGGGCTAAGTACTTAGATGCAGTTTTGCACTTCACTAAGTCCAGGGAACACAAACCCCAGAGCAAGTCATTTGGCATCTCTGAATGCAGGATTTTTCTGGAGCAAAACCCACAGAGGACATAGAGAAGCCAAGGAGCTTAGCTAGACCCTTATACTGCAAGTGCAAAGAAGCCAATGCTCTCTGCAAGAGAGGTCATAAAGGTGTCACTTTCTCTGGTTTTTTTTTCATACTCATTAAGTTCTTAAGGAATATTTCTGCTTTCTCTAAAATGGATGTAGAGGAGGAGCTCTCAATGAGTGCAAATCATAAAAGCCAGTTTCCAGCATGGAAGCACCCAATAAGGCATCTTATCATTTTCTTGATCCTCTGTATGCCACATCATTTACTAATGCAAGAAACACTAATGACAAACTATGGGAGATAAAGGAATTTCTTGAATTCTGTCGTACACAACATGCAAGTTTACTGTGCCATGAGGTTAGAAGACCTTCCTTTGCCTAAAAGCAAAGATGATTTTTACAAAATCTTATTTAAGATATTGCCTTATTAACTCACAGATTTTAATTGCTTGGGTACTTTCTGATTTTTAAATTATTCTTTTATTATTATTACACATAACAAAAAAATTTATGAAATAAAGTGACACCTCAGCTCTTTATGCATTATTTTGAAGTCATGGTGGTTATCCTCTATAACAAATAAATCTGAGGATACAGAAAGGAAAAGCAGAAGGAGACAAGATATAGAAAAAACCCTAACAGAGGACAAGGATTCAAAGGGTGAGGAACAGATGCCCAGGGTTTGTACAAAGAATCTATGACTATGAGAGAAGCAGAAAGGCTTGGATAGGGAGGTGGGAAAACAGCTGAAGATAACTATAATGAAAGAAGGAAAGACAGCAAGGATAAAGGAGTCAGAGGAAGGAAGGATACACATGATACAATACTTAATTGAAAGGCAAGTGCAAATGGCAAATGACAGTTTATAGGACATTAAAAAGAAAAAAAAAGCAGAATATGCAAATATTGTGTATGTATGATAGCAGACGACCACATCTGGACAAATACAGTGACTTACTTTCCCACTCACCAGCTGTAGAAAAACCTGATTGCAAAGCAGCACAGTAGCAAATGGAATATTTCAATCCTTGGAGCAACTTTTCAGGGGAACTGGCAAACAATTTCTCAAGGAACATTAACCACTCTGAGAAATCTATCTCCTGCCAAAAGCAGAGAGACCAGTCCAGAGATAAAGATACTGTGTGCCCTCTATGTTTCTTCAGAGATGTGTCCTGGCTGACACAGGAACAACCTTCTGCCACAAGTGTAACAGACCAGCTGTGGAGAAGAAGTACAGAGAGACTCTACTCCACTACAAAGTTTCATGTCTCTTCTATCTGACTGCTCTGAATCAGCACATGATTAAGCAAGATGCAAGAAAGCAGCAAAAACATCATCTAGGGGAATGAAAATGGAGAGGAGACTAAATAATTCAAAATTAAGAAGTTAAAAATGTTCTCCACAAGAGCATTTTCATGTTTTCAAAACACAGTGGGAGCCTGCAAGAAGACAGTTTAATGAAGAAAGTAACTAGCATCTATAAAACAGGAGAGCTGGGGAACAATTTCTTTGGTTTACAGACCAGTGTGATCAATGAAATGGCCACTAGCCTTAGACACTGATACAATCCAAAGTCCCCCCCAAAATCCCCAAAGGGAAAAATCATTCAAAGGGATGATTTTTCCTACTCTGCAAAGGCATCACAATGTTTAGCTAGACATGTGTGTGCAGCAGTTTGGGTGTGCAAAGTGCTGTGTGCTGGTGATAACCACCAGTTCCATCAGGGAACTTGGGGTCTGGTTTGTACCAAAGAACAAAGATTAGACATACTCACATCATTTATAATCTAGTATGAACACATTAATACCAGGGCTCCACTTCAGCAAGCCACTGATGTACATTTGGAAGAGGAATGTTTAACCCCAATGAACAAGGGCAGCAGGTTTCAGTTCCAGTCTTTCTCAAAACCTGCCTGATAAACTTATATTCTAGAATAAAAAACTACTTTTTTTTTTCTCCAGCAGAAGTTTTTGTTGGTCATATGCCATCTGAATCCCTGTTTTTAACCACTCTAACCAACAGTATCCCACCAAACATGTAGCTTGTCTCACCAGCATATTAAAATATCTACAAACCCAGTATAAGCCATGCAAACCCAGCCCCTGAGTATGTTCATTGGCCAAGAATCAAGCCAAGGTCTCACATGCTAACCACCAAGAGTGCTCTCACCACTATCATTACGGTCTGAAAAAGAAATATCATCTATTTGGGTTTTCTTTCCGCCAAACACTCAACCAAAAATGGTATTCAAAACTACTGCTCTTGTGAGCTCCATTCACTGTGGCACTACAGAAGAATTAAAGACATCGATTTTTTAATAATTTCTAACTTGTAAAGTTATTTGCTTTGGGTTTGAAGCTCACTGTGCCTTGTTTCAGGCTAAAGGCAAGGCTAGTTGTCTTTTGGTTAAACGAAAGCAGTTCAAGAGGTTTAGGGTAACATTAAGCAGTAGATAGGGTATTTCTTTTCTATGGGAAAACTAACTCACTACTGAAAAACTTAAGTAGAATTGACAGAAGGTATGGAAAGAAAGTACTTCAAAGCATTCCTCTAGATTTTAAAGAAAGAAAAAATTGAAGCTAAAAACAGACTAATAATATATAGAGAGGAAAAATGCAAAGATCAACAGCCAAAGAACAATCTGAAAATATTGAAAACAGACCTTTGTGTTAAAAGAAAAGCAGAGAACATTACTACAAGAAATCACTTAACAATTACTGTTGACTAAAACTTAGAGGAAGGAAAATCCCAAAGGGCAGCACACTGAAATGCAGAACTGCTTTCTTAAGTACTACACTAAGCAAGCATACAGCTGCTCCTTTTACACACACAGTCACAAATCCATGCTTCCCAGAGTTTCCAAATACATGTAAGCAAACTTTGCAGCCAGCTAATCATGGTCACAGCAGCATGGAGAGCCCTCCTGTGACCTGCAGTACTGTGGCCTCTGCTCTGATGCCGGGATGTCCCGTATCACTCATGAAATGCCATTTCTCCATATAACCCACCCACTGAACTGAA